TCACCACAACATAAAAAGAAAAGACTATATTAAAGTGGTAAAGCATTAAAAAAAAAGTTGAGGTCACTGGCTTAAAAATATGTCTCTCCTTATCTAAGGTCATTCAGGCTAAAAGAGACAGGTTTAAAGATATATGTTTAACCTCCTTGTTTTAACTAGCATTATTAAGACATAGCTATGTTTTGTAAATGAGTCATACAAGGAGCTGTTATAACCTATAATGGTATACCATGTAATGATCAAGATATTTCCCAGTCTCTATGTCTCAAAGTCTAAAAAAAACCAACAGACTTAATTCACTTTTTCTTGTAAAAAACCAAAACCAAAACCAAAAACTCATGTGGCAGCCACAGCTGGAGCCTGGATCCTCCGAACAGAGACTCTGGTGACCACGGTCTTCTTCCCAGAGGCTGGGGGTCAGGTAGCTGTAGGTCGTGGAGATGGCCTCCAAGGCAGCCTTGGTGAAGTTACCCAGGGTGGCAGTGCAGCTCCTGGCTGATATGTAGCAATCACCAACACCGGCCATCATCAATAGCTTCTTGGGCACAGGAGCAGAGACCATGCCAGTGCCTCTGGGGGCAGGGCTGAGATGCACCAAAGCAGAGCCACAGCGGCCTGTCACCTTGCACAGAACGGGGTGGGGCTTGCCAATCTTGTTCCCCGAGCAGCCTCTCCACACGGGGACAATGGAAAGCTTGGCCAAGATGACGGCCCCTCGGATGGCAGTGGCCACCTCCTTGGATCACTTCACACCAAGATCAACCTGACCATTGTAGCCCCCAATAGCGACCCAAGCCTTGATCCTGTTCTGCACTGTCATGGTCTTTAGAACCTCATCCTTTAGGGATGCACCCAGGAAAAAGTCAATGATCTCAGAGTCCTTCATGGGCAGGGAGAACAGGTAGATCTCCAAGGACTTTATCTTCATGTCCTTAGCCAGGCGGCCCAGCTCGGTGACAGGGATCCACTGCTTGTCTTTGGCTTTACCTCCACAAGCCGGGTGGCCTTGACCTTGACCACGACCACGGCCTTCCTCAGCCATGACCACAGCCCCTAAGACTGCTGCCGAATCCTCTGTGGAAGCCACCGTGGCCTCCTAATCCTGGGCTCCCAGGTCCTCCGAACCAGCATCACCTGCCATTTGGTGTTAGAAGAAGAAGGAGGAAGAGGAGGAAGAAGAAGAGAAGAAGAGAAGAAGAAAGAAGAAAAAAGAAGAAAGAAGAAGCAGCTGTCTCAAAGTGTTATCTTGATACTGAAAGAGCTTCAATTCAGGAATTTTCATTTTTATTGTATTAAAAAATACAAGTTAATAGTCACCTTATAAATAATCAAATTCTTTAAGATGTTCAGAACTATATCTATAGTCATACTAAATACTAATGTCATTAATTACAGGAATAAGCCTTATTTAGCCTCCTGTTTTATCTTCTTCTTTCTCCTCTTCTTCTTTTATTTTATTTTTTTCGAGACAGGGTTTCTCTGTGTAGCCTTGGCTGTTCTTTGTAGACCAGGCTGGCCTCGAGTTCACAAAGATCCACCTGCCTCTGCCTCCCAGAGTGCTGGGACTACAGGTGTGTGCCACCATGCCTGGCTCCATTTTATGTTTTCAAGATATAATCTAAAGCAAATGACTAAAAACAGACAAGAATTGTTTAACTCCGATAGACTTGGTAGATACTAATGCTAGTCATCAAACCTGTCAGATCTGATGAATATGGCATTTAAGATGTTTAAACTTACTATGACAGACAGAGACTCCCAGATCCCAGCAATGATCCCCAAGGTCTCCAAAAAGATAATGGACACAGCGACAAAGGATTCTACCTGGACTGTGGTAACGCTAACCACTGGGAAAGACTGCCCCGATACCTCCCTTGCTGCTGGGCCTGGCAGCTGAAGACTGATGTTGCTCTGGGACCTATGGCCCCAGTGAAGCTGTCAGCACCACAGGAACCTGCTGGGATGCTGTCTGGATAATGGGTGAGCCTCTGTCATTTTAACTAATACACAGGCCATTTGGACTAGACTTCCTGATATAATTTCTGAAGGCGTTGAAGGCTAGGCTAACTGTAGGTCTGTCGGCCTGGCAGCAGCGGGCAGCCAGCTCCTTTCCCCACAGCCACCTCCTTACATTTCATATGTAAAAATCAAGCCTTGCTCTTTCTTTTCCTCCCTCCCTTCCTCCTTCCCTCCCACCCTCCCTTCCTCCCCTCTCTACCTTCCTTCCTTCCTTCCTTCCTTCCTTCTTCCTTCCTTCCTTCCTTCCTTCCTTCCTTCCTCTCTCCCTCCCTCCTTTCCTTCCTTCCTTCCTTCCTTCCTTCCTTCCTTCCTTCCTTCCTTCCTTTCTTTCATTTCATCTTTTGAGACAGGGTTTTTCTGTGTAGCTTTGGCTGTCCTGGACTCAGTCTGAGGACCAGGCTGGCCTCTGGCCTCAAACTCATTAGATCCACCTGCTTCTGCTTCCCAAGTGCTAGGATCAAAGGTGTGTGCCACCACTGCCTGGCACAAGCCTTGTGTTTTCTAGATCAACTAGGTCTCTCTCCGTGTCTCTCTGTCTCTCTGTCTCTGTCTCACTCTTCTGAGACAGAGAAGAGAGTGTCTCTCTGTCTCTCTGTCTCTCTCTCTCTTCTCTGTATAGCCTTGGCTGTCTTGGACTCTCTTTGTAGACCAGGCTGGCCTCGAACTCTGTTCCTTTATTTAAAAGAACTGTGTTTGCAATGTCTGCTCTCAGTAATAACTATTCATGTCTTTGATAAATGATTAGATGCAAACAAAAAAGAATGAAAAAGAAAAGAAAATGATTTAAAATATATAAATGCAATTTATAGAAACATAAGGAAGTCATTTAAGTTGTATGAAAAATGGAAAATGTTTCAGATTTCTTTCCCCCCTCTATGCTATTGTTATATTATTTTAAAGGTTTAAACTTTTAACATTGATCAGCGGCGTTCTGAGAAACTCACGGAGCACAGACTGCTTAGTCAGAAGCTCAGGATTTTGAATTTTCTTTTGTTGTCTTCTAGGAATAACTTAAAGAAGCTTTTCATCGGGCTGAAACATCTAACTAATCTACACACCTTGCTCTCTGAATGGAAAATACTCATGCTTCTTAACATAAAGCTATAGTTTTTGCTGGAACTCAAAGGCACGAGTCCGCTCCTGTTGTCTTATAGATGCCTGTTAACTGCGTCTGTAAGACTGTGGATTTCAACACAACGGCAACACTGATATTCTAAACCTTTATCTCCTTTTGTAAGCTAAAGACTCATATAAGCCTCAAGGAATCAAAGAAGCCATAAGACTTAGATCCACCTGCCGCAAAGCAGATGGACTCCAGGTAAACAGAGCCTCCATTCTGCCTGCCTCTCCCTGAGAGGGGAGCTTCCCCTGGTCTCGGGCTTGCTCCGTTTCCCTGGTTACTAGAAAATTTTAACTTCTGTCCGTAGCCTATGTTTGTCTCAGCAGATTCCCGCTCGGCTGGCAGACGCCATCGAGGCAGCACCTGCAGGCTACAAGCTGCTGAGCTCTGGACTTGCTGAAAGCTCGTATAAACCAGACATCTCAGGGACAGCTTCTAAAGAGACAGTTGTATGAGACCAGCCATCTCCAGGAAAACATCTCCATCTTGCTGGCAATGTTCAACTAAATTCATGTTTCCAGACCTGGGAACCAACTCCCATCCTGACTGGTGGACAAATGTGACAATACCTGACACTGATGCTTGTGGTTTCATTCTTTCAAGATGCTGTACAACTTTTCTCCAAGATCGCAGTTCAGCTCCCGGGTCTACTCTGCGGCCCTGATCTATCAGTATTGGCTTGATTGCAATAAATCTTTGTCATCTGTATTGGCCTTGTGTTTGAGTTATGTTGGATCTAAGTTGACCCCATAATAGTAATGAGAAGAAAAGTTAAAAAGGAAAAAAGAAGAAGAAGAAGAAGAAGAAGAAGAAGAAGAAGAAGAAGAAGAAGAAGAAGAAGAAGAAAAAGAAAGAAGCCAGGGATGGCATCTCACACCTGTAAAATCCTAGCACTTGGGAAGCAGAGACAAGAGGATTTCTATGAGGTCATTGCTTTGTCTCAAACCTGGGACAAATGGCTGAAGTGCCTATTTAACATGTCAAAGCACGCCAGATGCCAGGTTCTCCCAGTATCCCTCAGTCCTGCCTGTTCCAGGGGCCTCCTGGCTGGCATCCCCAAACTTCTCCAGCCCTGGGGCTGGGCTGCCCTTCCCTATAGAAGCCAGCCATTTCTGGTCACCCTTTCTCTTTTGGACCTCCTGGCTGCTGCACCTGTTCTCCTCTCTCCCCTCTCTCCTCGCTCCTCTCCTACAATGGTTCAGGGTCATGTCTATTCTGGACTCTCCCAGATGTCCCTGTCCCCTCGTCCATGCTCTCCCATTTATCTACAATAAAATTTCTCCTTTTCCCTACTTAAGAGAGCAGTCATGTCCCTTCTTTTTTAGTTTACTTTTGCATTCAGTCATCCTGGGCTATACAGTGAGTTCCAGGTCAGCCTGAGCTATATCGGAAGTACCTGTGGGGGATGGGGGTAAGGGAAGGGGATGAAGCGACTGGTCATTGTTGACTTGGAACTGAGTAGAGAAGTGAGACAAGTAAAGGGTACTCGAGTAGCGGGGGAAGCAGAAGGAAGGCATTTGGGTCTTCTCCTAGGGGGCACATCTCTCTCCCCCTCCTCTGTCAGTGAGCACTTGGGATTAAAGAGAAAGGGGGTCTCTCAGAGATCATCACCTTGGGTAAAGGCGGGCAGCAGCTAGAGAAAGGCACTTGATCCACAGTTAGGGGCTGGAGCCGGAGGAGCAGAATTTTGAGAAAGGGTTGGAGCTGAATCCACGGCCCATCCCCCATCTCAATCCCGGCCAGCAATATTCCATGGCAGTTAGGGTCTGCCCAGTGGAATGGGGCAGGGCCTACTTTTGGATCTGGAGCTCAGGTGCCTGAAAAGAGTTCCCCCCATTCTTCCTCATACATTAGGCCTGTGATGGAACCTGATTTAAATGAGGAAGAAATTGAGCAGATAAGGGCCACGTAAGTGTGGGAATGGAAGGGGAAGAGCGGTGAGAAGAGAGCAGGCACCTGAGGCCCAGACAGGAGAAGGAGGCTGGGAAGGCAGGGGGGAGGAGGGGTGATCCGGGCAGAGCAGAGGAGTGACGCGGGCCCTCTGCCTCTTCTTCCAGTAGGAGCAGGACCCTCTCCGCGCAGCAGCGCCGCCACTCGGCACTGCCTATGCGCTGGAGATTTAAGCACAGCTCCCGCTGGATGGCCCACGTGATGGCCTCGGAGTTCAGCCTGCTGGCCTTTCTCATTCTTCTGGTCATGACCTTCTCAGGGAAATGGCTGAACCCCTCTAAGAGCCGCTTCTATCGGCGCCATCCCCAAAACATTACCAACAAAATCTACACCTCCATTCACACTATGTCCACGGGGCTCCTGTATGTGTGCCTGTCTAAGAGCTGCTCCGACCATGACACAGGTGAGCTCCTTCCTTCCGTCCCAGGACCCCAGCCCGCCTCGCCCACAGTCTTGTCCCCCCTGCCCATCAGCCATCTTCACTTGGCTTGCAGACTGCTCTGCTGGCTGACATGGCAACCTTGGGGTGGGGGTGGGGGTCGTTTTCTTCTTTTGGCTTAACTAAATCATTTTGCCTGACCAGAGACAGGTCACTGTAAAGCCCGATGTCAAAGAATTTGAGAGGTGCCGGCATCATTGTTGAGCTGGGAGGTGCTGGCTCCTTCCAGGTTCGCGTCCCCAAAGCTGAGAGAAGACCTCGGGGTGCTCTCTTGCCCTCATTTCCCAGCTCCTGTCAGCTTCCTTTCTTTCCTTCCGATGGAGGTCTCGATTCCCTGGGCCAGCTCTGCATTTCCCCCTTTTTTTTGTTTGGCTTTCTTATTTCATCCTTCTCTGAATTCTCACATCTGCTGAATTTCTGACTCAAGTTTTGTTTCATGCTGTCGTTTCATGCCCTCACCACCTCAGGAATGTCCGGTTCTGGGTGTCCCTCTCCATCTGTTCATTTTCCTTCACATAAGCAAAAACAGGGATGGAGAAATTGTATGTATTTTAATGACAAGTCTGGAAAATCAAAAAATATCATTTGTGGTGTGTGAAAGAATAAAGCCCTAGCATAATACTGTCAACACTATTTTACAAGACTGGAGCAGTGCAGGGTCAGAGGCAAGGCGGGACAGATGCCCAGCAGCAGGATATCTGCTGCGGTTGGGCGCCTAAAACACTCTGGATAAGAACCGGGTACGTGACTCTACCCACATCTGCCTTCCCGCCTTCCCTGTTCCGGGTGCGTGACTCCACCCACTGCCTTCCCGCCTTCCCTGTTCCGGGT